TACAAATGCAAGTATTCACAGAATGACTGAATGGCTTCAATTGGAAGGGACCACAAAGCCCACCCAGTTCCAAGCCCACTGCCACGGGCAGGTCTGCCACCCACCAGCTCAGGCTGTCCAGGGCCCCATGCAACCATGCCTTGAACACCTCCAGGGATGGGGCACCCACATCTTCTCTGGGCAGCCTGTGCCAGTGCCTCTCTGCCTGAGAGAAAACATTACTTCATAACGTCTAATCAAAACCTACCTTCTTTCTGCTCAAAGAAAAAAAAAATTACCCTGTCCTCTCACTGCACTCTGATAACAAGTCCCTCTCCATCTTTCCGGTAGGTCCTGGAAGGCCACAATGAGAAGGCCAGAGCTTTCTCTTCTCTTAGCTAAATAACCTCATCTCTCTCAGACTTTCTTTGCAGCAGAAGTGCTTTAACAATCTAGCCACTTTCTCAGCCTTCTCTGGACTCTCTTCAAACAGTTTCACATCTTTTTTTCATGCTGGGGTCCCAGGACTGAAAACAGTGCTGTAGGTGAGGTCTGACACAAGTGGAGTAGAAGGGGACAACCTCCCTCAGCCTCCTGGCTACATCTCATCTCCTGTCCCGCTGATGTTTTTGGGTGTTTTGCAACTCCTCTTACAGATCCAAATTTCACAGAGTAGCTTTTGCTGAATGGCTTGATACAGCTGCTTCAAGAAAAAGCCTGTGCAAGGCCAGTGTAAACATAGAGCTGGCCATGCCTCTGCTCCACAGGCAGAGATCACGGCACAACCATCGCTTAGAGCTTCTGCTGTGTGCTGTGCTTCTGATCACTCTTCTGATCACTCTCCTTCCCAGACAGCCATGCCAAGACTTCCTGTGTCTGTGAGACAGCATGCTTGTTTAACATTCGGATGTCTCTCGTTCGTTATCTGAAGACTGCTCAAATGGGAGTAATGCTATATTTAGCTGTGATGACAGAACAACTAAAGCACAATAGAGACAGTCTGCAAGAATCTGCCAAACCCTCTCTGTAGAAACAGATATGAAGTACAGAATCTAAAGCAAAAAAAAAACCCGCAAACCAAAACCCACAAATTCCTCCCTTCTTCCTCCAGTACTCCTGCAGTGAGTGGTGGAAGTGCTGGAGGTGATGGAGTGCACTGAATTAGCTGGGAGGGAGTTCATTGTCTTCGTAGCAGCTCATATGGTGCAATGTTTTAAATCTGTGGCCAGACCAACGCTGATAACACAGCATTGTTTTAGTTGAGGCTGAGCAGTGTTTGCACGGTATCAAGTCCTTCATTGTTTCTCACTCCACCTCTCCAGTGAACAGACTGAGGTGTGCAAGAGGTGGGAAGGGCACATGAGTAGGTTGATGACTCCCTCTGTCTATGGGATTAAACCCACAAGTTGAGTCTAAGTGTATGAGCCCCATTCACTATTTGGGAGAGGAAAAATAAAAATATACATATTAGTAGTAGGCTAAGAACCCACAATCAACTGTGAGACTCACAAATGCATTGTAGCACATTTTCCTTGAATGTTGTATTATTCAGTATTGTGCTTTGTCCTTGGTTACCATGAGCCCCTCCAGTAAAAACAGGGTGTTGCAAATTGAGTGTGAACCACAGCAGGCAATACGAGTAACCGCCTGATGTGTCTTGGGAAAATAGATCCTTGTCTAACTCTAACTAAGTTTAATAAGTTTTTTTTTCCAAAAATACTTGAGCCATACTTGAGTATTTGTAGCAGTGCTCAGGGCAAGATTAAAGCAGCAGCTCCCACTCCTGATTATTTTATAATGCTGGTATCAAGTTCTAGAAGCTTTGCCAGATTGGGACATCTGTCAAATTTTTATGTCCTTTCATTTTTAAGGATGTTTTTTCATCATGCTGGAACTAAAGGGAAAGGAAGAGCTTTGAAATATTAAGCCGTGCAAATAATTAACTAGACAAATGATTAAAACAACAACAACAACAACAACAACAACAAAAAACAAAACCCAAAGATATGGAAAAATAAAACACACTTCAAACGCATTATTTAGGGGTAATCTCACATTTCTTGCAGCCTGACTCAGATAGGCTGACTATCCCAGATATGTTCTGAATACAGAATATGGCAGTGAGTAGAGCTGAGCAAGGTGGTACCAGCAGCAGATAAGCCCAGCCACATCAACATTCTTTCTAAACAGATCAAGTTGACAGAGAAATTTTTACTGCAGGGAAAAACCACGGACTTAGGCTCTAAGCATCCTTCTGGTGCTGTTAACAAGCATCTTGCCCTGGGTATAATCAGTCCAGAAGGAACATTTGCAGGGCTATCAGTGAAGAGGCTGACCTTTTCCCCACAGACCTTTATTCTATTAAGACATAGGACGAGCAGGAACTGCAGGAAACCAGAGACGGTGTATAAAAATATTTTCTTAGACTATACACCTGGGAAACCAGTATTTGTGTATTATTTAAGTTAATAAAAAATCGATGCAACAATGTCTCCTGGATATGGCAGCACATTTTTCTCTTTGTCACTGAATCCACTGAATCTGCATCCCAGGAAAGTAGATGATCCTACAAATTGATGACTGGCAGTGTTTAAAGATTTTTTTTTTTTTTTTTCCTGGAGGAAATCATTATTTTGGATGCGAAAAATGAGTGAAAACCTGAAAACCTAACATTATTCTGGCACAGTAGGAATGCAATGTCTAAGTTTACAGAAGATTGGGATTAGGTTTTAGTGGTTATAGTTCGATACCAGTCATTGCCCAAGTAATGCTGATTCTGAGATGTAAGCATACTAACAATAATGTATCGCTCCTAATGATTTGCTTAGCTAAAGTAAGCAAAATGCATAACTCTGTTATGCATAACTACTTGCAGATCTAAGAGTCTGCTTGCAAAGATGTCTGAGAACTGTCAGGGTAACCCCTCAACGTAAAAGGTAATTAGCATAGAAATAATTCCGTAGACATAAAGCACCTGAAGCAAAGCAAGATATGCAACCAAAAAAAGGACAGAAAGAACTGATAATAGAAATCCAGATGTACAAATAAGGGCAAAAAATAACATAAATGTATGCAACAGACATTACCTTGGAGAGCATTTGGATACAGATGATCTTAATCTGTTTTGCTGCTCAACAATTATTGCACAATGGACTCTGCTGTGGAAAAGTATATTATTCTATTCTGTGCCACTCTTTTCTATTTAGCACCATAGTCCTTGTTCCTTGTTTGACAACAAATCTTTACATAAAAGAGATAGGTGTCTTGGGTTTCAATACTTTGCAAACCTTTACTGATGGTAAATCCAGCAGTGAAAACTTAATGGACAGCCACATTAGAAAACTTTGTAGCAAGTATTTTGGTGATTTTCTATTCATAATTATCCAAACACAGCAAATGTGAACAAATTACTGCCACCCTTCTAGAAAAGAAAGGCAGCTTTTCTAATCTAATGGCATTTCACACTTGTACAGAACTGGAAACAGATGACAATACAAAGGAAAGGGCTTCTATAAATTGAGCCCTGGATACAAAGCTCCCAAAGGACCTTAGAATGTAGGACAGTTAGAGACCTCATATACCCTTGTCTCAGGTCCCTGAAATTGCAGGCAAGCACACTGCACAATCCTTTTCTTCAGTAGATAAACAAGTTTTCTAATTCTAGGATGTAATCAGAAATCTTTTCCAATTTTCTAGTTCATTCAGATACTCCATGTATCAATTTGTGTGCTTGTTTTTTTCCATGCTCCTTCCTCCCCACTCCCCACAAAATGATCACCAATGCAATGTGCTGTGGACAGCAGTTATTTCCATTCTGTCATCTTAAACTCTTCTCACCTCTCTTGATACAAACTCCTAAGTACTCCTATCATGTCCCTGTTCCACAGAGACAGGCACTTTTAAATGTGAACAGTCAGAACAATACACTGTACCTCAGATGTTCATCAGCTTTTGTACAATAGTGATACTTTTTACATTTCATCAGAAATACGCCTTTGATGCATACCAGCTTTACATAGGTGAGGATCTTCAGCAGAGCTTGCTCCACGCTCTAACAATTTCCATGAATTCAATACGGAACTGGGCTAACTCCTATGAATAAACTCACCCCAACATCAGGAGCTAATAAATACAAAGACGCCACCTCTGGCTCAGGGAGTTGCAGATCATTTTAGGGTACATTGGTGAGGTGTCAATCCATACTGTTTCCTGCTCTTCCCTAGGAATTTGCTCTTAGTGTCCAGACAAGATGTCAGGCAGACCTCAGGTTTGACCCAACAAAGCCATTCTTTTATTTTCACTTGCTTTGTTTCACCTTGCACTGATGATCAGAATTATAGCTGAATGTATATTCAGAACTTTCTCACCATTAATGACATTAGATTAACAACATCCCAAACTACAGCAAAAAGCTTTCTTTGAAGATCATGGAAGAATAAGTTTGCATTTGACTTTTTGAATTTCCCCAATCCTCAGCTACTCTAGGCCTTAAGAATATCTGATTCTTCATTTTCTTTATTGATAATTATACCTAATTTTCTTCTACCATTAACAAATTATTGTCATTATACAAGATTTATCCCAAGACCAGCATTTAGATAAATTCACTAATACATCTAGAAGTTTCCTTCTCTACTTTATACTTCGTTATATCTTTGTTATCCAGTTTCTTTTTCACTGGGTAGCTCTAATGTTCAAAGTCATACTCAGGTTCATCAAGATGCAGTATTGCATACATTACTGAAGATATATATGAGATGTACCATACGTTCTTTACCTGGAAAGCAATTTATCTTGTAAAAAGTTCTATCTGCTTAATCTGAAAACTTTTGTCTTTGATATCCCCAAATTCTACATCTTCATTGAATTTCATTTTTTTTCTCAAAATATGTTCTGTAGCTTCAGACAGATAAAACAGAATCTCTTCAGAGGGAGACAAGAATGCCAGGGATAATCTAGATGCCAGGTAGGAATGGGTCTATTTGTCTGTATGAGCAAATCCACACAAAGTCTTCCTATACCTCACCTCCTGAAACATAGTTGTACAGGGTGTAGCAGCCAGCTGCATCTATCTCACACATCTTCTCTAGGACGTTTTCCTGATTTGCTTCCTGAAGTTTCAACATGGATTAGTGAAGAAATGGGCATGCAGCACTACCTTTTGGAATAAATTATTTAGGGATGTCCTCTTTTGTACTATACAGTACAAAAAGTAACGTCATTCACATGGAACATCAAAATGATCCCAATTTCAACACCTTACACCATTATCTTAGTTAGGCAACAAGTCATTCTTTCTGGTTCACATCCTAACAGACATGTCTGTTGCTTGTAGCTACTCGTACAATGGAAACCATACAAGAAAGAAAACAGTGAAACTGTTGTTACACAATAACACGTGGTGCTTTTCTTCTTCCTCCCCAATTTCTTCCCCAAATTCTTACTTGTGAGGAGTTTGGTTGTATGAACAAATGCTCTCCTCAAACCCTTTCACATGAGAGTTTGCTCAGCCTCGAATGTTTTTGTCAAAAAAGACTTGTTCTTCAATTTTTAAAAAAGCAAAGCACACCACTGCAAACCTTCAACATCAAACATCTCACATGCGAACAGGCACTAAGAGCACCTTTCTTTTCCAGGGCACACAGCACGTATGGCTTTGCACTGAGAGAACTGAACTCCCAGAGCTCCAAGATGAAGGCTAAAAATAACCCATTATGTATTAATTTCAGGATTTTAAAGTACGGCTAATTAATAAGCATAGGAAAGGCAAGGCATGTGGTTTCCAGGAGGGAGCACTGCAGACTGCAAGGAAGAGGGTAGGGTGATATCCTGGCAGAGAGCCAAAGGAGAAATGGAAGACAGAAGTTTGCTTTGAGGATAAAGGAGGTGCAAAGACAGTGTTTCAGAAGAGGCAGAAGCAAAGGGATAAAGCGCTTTGCTACTGAAGTGGCAAAGGCAACATAGTGCAACCACAGAGGACAGGATCCTGTTAGAAGAGCCACAAGTACAGTAAAAAAGCCCTAGTATTTTCATAAGTGGTATCAGAACAGAGCTTGTTGCTACTAAAGAAGGTGGCAAAGTTAGGGCTTGGTGGCTCAGACTGTGTGCCACAGACTGAATTATGGTGCTTTGGAAATAACTTGACACAGTAGTGAAGGAGGTCTATGTATCTTGAGTCAGAAGCACCTTGTGAAGGTGTTGTACTAGGTATGGAGCACTGAACAAGATGCACAGGATGGCAGTCATGGCACACCGTGAAAACAAGGTACTGCATATGAGCAGTATGGGTGACGTCAGACAGCAGGGATTATCTACAGTTAACGTGAATCAGAAAGCAAATTTGGTTATTCACAGGCAATTCCGGTGAATTAAAAGGTACAGGGGGAAATCAGCCACTTGGAGCAGATTTCCTTCATACCCATTTCCCCACAAACAACATTCATACAATTACGACCTTCCTTTAAACGTAAGGACAAACGGACAATTGCTGATTCACTGGCTATTTGTTATGAAAAACAAGCTTTTCAACCAAATACAGATTATTTAGTGTCACTACTCATCTGCCTGTGTCCTTTGACATGATCACTAAGGATCTTGAATATTTTAGTGATCCAAATGCAACAAAATGGTAGGAAGCTCAAAGTTTTGTGAGATTTGGTGGCTTTCACAGTGGCACACAGAAGTAGACTCAAAATGTTGTAGGTTTGGTTATATTTTGAGAAACACCTGTTAAAAGGAAGGGGTAGCAAGGTTTAATTTTGCAGTAGTAGGTTTTGATACATGCTCGAGGTGACAAAGTCCCCAGAAGAACTGCAGGGGAATGAAAAGCTACACCAACAAGCTTGTGAAACAGGATGAGTTTCACAGTCCAGTGTTACAGGAGGTTGCTAGTGGAGGCAAAGGACACAAGACCAACTTTTTCACTTAAAGACATTCTTTATTCAATCTTTTTTTCGTTTTTTTTTTTATATACAATATTATTTTTAATCTGTAAAAAGTACATATGCAGGATTCCAGGTCAGAGGCAGCCAGAAGGTTTCCACATGAAAAGAAAGACTCTTGCCCTTTTGTTATTTTGGAGGAAAAGTAATCTGTCAAACAAAGCAAGAATAAAGGCAGAATGCAAAACCAACTTCCACCAAGCAATTAGGATTAAAGGCAACAATTCACCGTAATGAGCCAGGCTCTCTCTTTCGATTTCGGTGATTCTCAACTTTTCCAGGCAATTACAGAGCAGTTTGTTAGAATGGGCAGACAGCCGAAGCAGCTAGTGTTGATCGTCTCTGCTACAGCTGTATGCACAGAACTTGCAACAGAGCTTTGGCTTCCTCTTTGTATGGCAACCCAAGCCCTTGAGTCAGAAGACTTTCTCAGAATTCAAGGAGCAAAAGAGGGAAGGCTTAGGCTAAACAGATCTCTGAACTACAATGTGGACCAAGAGCTTGCTTGCATTTTTCTCTGGTAACAAGAAGCCTCTTTGTAATTTGTCCCCTTAAAAACATGGACTATTTAGTAATGTATGTAACAGGCACAATTTGCCAAAAGCCTGTTACTACAGCCCTGAGATGCAAGCTGCCTCGTCATTTTCTGTGGGTGCTAGATTACACTGTTGATCCTTTCAATGTTAATGCTATTATTTACTTCTCCATTCAAACAAGGAAGAGTCACATTATGAAGGTTTGTAATATCATACATTTCCTCAGGGACAGAAGAGAGTATCATTGAGGACAGTCCGATACAGCTTAGTTATAAATCAATGAAACATATACTTTTAATCTTACAGGGTGGTATTATAGGGAGCATGTAATTGCTTTCACTTTTCAAAACTCCAGATACTGGACATTCAAATCTCATAGAGCTCCAGGTGAGAATATCTCAGTGACTGAAAGGTAAAAGACGGTCATTTGCAAATCTGGAGTAGGAGGTTAAGAAGCTTCAAAGGCGTGAATGCCACAGGGAATTACACTATCTGCTTTTCTCCTTACTCCAGGTTACTCAGAATATTGCATGTTCTTTTTAAGCATTCCATTTTAAGGACCACATTGTGCAGCAAAATGAACACCCAGTATATCACTCAAAGGTTTTATTCTTATAGGACAAGGCTAAGACATTCACTTCTGGACTGCAGGACACACAAAGCTCCACAGTGGCCAGTGCATAAATTTGGCTTCTGTCGGGCTGTAAATTGTTAGAAAAAAATGTACTGCTAGCAGATCCTGACCAATAGGCAAGTTTGTGTCTTGGATTCAGAAAAGAACTCAGCATCCTTGTTTTGACTGCATGCAAACAGGACAATTCTGGGGTTTCCAGGCTCTTGCCCAAATCCAGTGTGCCAAAAATGTACATGATTTTCTGTCCTTTACTTCATCCTGTAAGAGGAGAAGGCATTGCAGAAATTGCTAAAATGGGACATCTACCTAAAGAAAATGAGAACTGTTTTGTTAGAGAATACAGTGCAAGACTCAGAAACAACTAGGACTAGAAAGTCATTTTGTGCTTAAATTTATACTCTACCTCCATGAAAGTATGTAGGACAGAAGCAACAGAATGGAAGTGGTAATACTCTACCTGTACCTTATATACCCAGAGGGAAAACTGTGAGGGAAAACCCAGAGTCTGAACTGTGGGCCACACATAACTCCATTATGCAGATCAAAACCTACTTCTTTGTGAAGGACTCTGACTAAAGGCATGTCGCTTAGAGAGAAGTTTCCATATCCATGCTTAGTGCCTACACATGCCTCACTGAAAATCCTCCAAACTTTCGGCTTGCTCTAGATAATCTCAAGATGGAGAGAGTTATGAGTGATACAGCAGTAAGTCCATAAAACACTACTTTGAATAGACTATGGAGATCTGTAGCTTCTGTAGGAAAAGGAAAGTTTGCCTTTTAAAGAGTGTTGGTGTAGAAACTGACAAACTTTGGGCTAACTGGAAAATGAGAAACAAATGTCCTTTATTTGGTACCTGCTGTTTGTCTACACAAAGAAGAAATAGCAGTACTGTACATTTGCTTTGAGAAAAATACCATCCCATAACATGAAATGGCTTAGGTCCTCAATTCAAGCATTCTTGTGGCAGTGAATTAACACACTGGGATTCATGGAGGAATTTGAATAACAACTCTTCACATGAGGGGTGTGTTCACATGAGGGGTGTGGCAGAGCGTCCAATAATGGTAAGAAATTTGCTGTTTCTGGGACTCTGACAGAATTTTGTCTCTGAACAGACTGGCAGCCATTCTACATCTGCATTTACCAGGAAGTGTATGATGACAGCCTAGGATGGAAAGTGCCTTTTCTCTCACTCTTAAAAAAAAAAAAAAAAGAAAAGAAAAATCAAAAACAACAAAGATAAAGGAATCTATCTTTCGTATTTCTCCTTGGTACCTAAGAGATTTAGGACAAATTAATTCATGTGCGACCAATAAGAAGAAACCATTTACTAAGATACTTCTCACTTAACAATTGCTTGAATCAGTATTATTTACTACATCAATTACTTTATCAGCTCTCAAATTATTTTTAAGATACTGCTGCAAATTACAATAACTAACTAATTGGTACGAAGGCAAAAATGTTGAGATCAGATTGTTTTCTAAGGTCTATGTCTTCCTCCTCTTAAACTGAAGTGACAGTCTGGAGGACGGAGTCTGATAGAAATACTCACATGACCTAGGAAAAAATGCTATGCATAAATTACTGTCGAAGAGAAGTGAGGAAAAACACTATGGGAAATCCTACTTCAATGTATGGTCAGAAAAATTATAATGTGATATTGGGAGAAGGTTTTTATATATGAAATTTCATATATAAACATTCTTGAGAGGGAGAGGATACTCAGTCCCTTTAGACATGGTGCTGCACTGCTGTAGTTCACTAAAGACAATTCTTTCACTCACTTGAGTTTGAAAAGACAATCAGAATTTTTGAAAGATTCAACCCATGCACAAATTAGGAGGGAACAAAGCACCTCACTGCTCTTTTCCAGCACAAATGCTGGAAATGTGGCAAAAGGATGTGAGAGATATAAAGGGGAGTAAAAATAATTATGTAAGGATTCTGAAACACTAAAAAAAATATCGATCAATGAAGAAATACTTGAAAAGGATAAATTTCTTTTAGCAAAAACTGTGAAGACTCAGGCTCAACTGATACTGTCAAGCCCAATTTCAATGTATTTGAACTACTCCAGCCTTCGAGTACTCGAGGGAAAAAAAAAAAAAAGGAAACTGCATCTCATTTCTTATCAACTAATTGAAGAGAATCTGCAGTTTCTTTTTCCACTCATGTGTAAGAGATGTTATGCTGTTTTCAAAGACAATCATGTTGGCTTTGCACCGTTGCAGGTCACCCAAACGGAAAGGAGTTTTCTAGACTAAATCAAAGGCAGTTTTTGGCTTCTGTCATACGCAGAAATAAAGAGTGAAATTAATTTTTAGGAAAAATCCATATTGTGTGGAAAAACGTAAAACAACAAACTCCTGCTGCTTAGCTGAAGGGGAGCATTTTTAAATGTCGTATCCTATGCCTTGCTATATAAATTATGAGACTGTTTTTCTCAAGTTTTTATCTCTGCAAATTTGACTAGAAGAAACAAGAAAAACAAGAGAATGTGGACTTTCCACGTGATGGATTTACAAAGAAAGAACGCTTAGTCTCTTATCCCACCCGATGTTATGCTCCACACTCTAACCACAAATTGCAAAATGAGCTAAGCCTTTGTTGTTGACAGCAAACTACAAACTAAATGCTTATTCATTGCTTTCTTGAGTGTGACCATACAACACAGAACTTTCAACACTGCTTTGAAAAGGGAAAATGAGAAAGTAATAGTTTTTATAGTTTAGTTTTAATAGTTTGAAGTCCCCAAGAATGGCTGCCAGTCTGGGCAAACTGATGTTCCTTAGAAATGTCAGACAGGTACACAAAAAAATTCAAATCCTGCTGCTGCTGGTGCAGTGATGTTGCTTTTTGTTGTTGCTTTGTTCATGCCATCATCAAACAAAAATAAAAAGAAAAAAAATCAAAGTATTTGGAACCCACCCGATCTGAAGAGATGACTGGTACGCTGTGCCTTAGAACAGCCAACAGCAGCAGCTGCAAGTTCCTGTCCCTAAACAGGAAAGCCTCTTCTTCCTCATGCTGCTGCATTTACTTTAAACAGTGGATTCCATTTCTTGCTAGGGTTCAAAGCACTTGAAGTCTCTGTCCTGCAAATACCATACCTGTGTTTTGGTCATATATAAAACAGAACTTTGTTTCAGTTTTACTCATCTATATGTTGAAGAGCTTTGTTTCTCACGCCTGTACTTGACTCAGAAGTCAAGATTTCTCAAGTGTCCATTTCCTCTCCTGCTTAAAGTCTCAGTTGTAAACAAAACAGCTGAAAAGTTTCTCTTCCTCTTCTTAGAGCTGATTTTATCGATAAGCAGGATTTCCTGAAAGTGTGGTGTTTGCTAAATGTAAAACAGGCAGGGGATGAGCTTCTGTGTTAAAAACCCAGTTGTCTAATGGGAGAAGGTCATCGTTGGAGAAAAGCAGATACAAATACCTAGATATCAATACAGAGAAGAAAAATGGTAGGTATTAAAGTCGAGCAACAGACACTGGGGCACCATAGCAGCTGCATGCCCCACCACTCAACAGCTAAAGCCATAAACAAGTTATTTGCTTTCAATCTTTTTATAGCACTCATACAACTTCCCCCATTATAATGATCTGAAGAGTCATATTTATCACAGTCAAGTCCTGCAATGAAAAATTTGTTACAAAGACAGCATTTTAATTTTTCCAAGTAACTTCTGTTTTTCAAGACTCTTTTCCAAGGCTTATCATATAATACAAACATCAAGACATCAAGCACAAGGATTTTGGAGGCTGGGGAGCAGAGCAGAAGTAGGCAAAAAATTGGTTTCAATGGAGCAAACCCACTTGGAAATGACTATTCCATTCAAATCAAATATTTAGAGGAAGCACAGAAGAAGCCACTAAACCATGCCAGATATTTGATTTGTCATCACCATGTGGGGCAGTCATCATCAGCTTCTGGCAGGAGGAAATGTGCCAATATGCTTGCAGAGAGGATTCATAAATGTTGTATACTAAAAAGCAACACAGTACAAACAAAGCATGTAATGATGTTACATTTCTGGACATATGTGTAAAGATTATCTCTTGCTTCCTTTTCTCTTAATACACAATTTTGAATGTGATTATGCTATTATTGTACGAGGACACTGGCAGCAGAGATCTTTGTAAAGTCTTTCAAACTCAAATGCTATAATTCCAAAGGCAGTTCCCTTCTTCCAGAAAACCTGATTGTGTACATGCGAGCTAAGCTTAACATCACTATATAGGATCTCTCAACTTCTGTTTCAGCCTGATTTCCTGCTATTCAGCCAATGTCAGGTCTTGCAACACGGGACAAGGAAGAGTTGTCACTCCCATCAGTAGGCTCTGTCAAACCCAGAATGTGAACACATTGTTTTGTATTCGCTATAAATCAGATGCTCATATTTCCACTGTCTACAGTCAAATGTCACTGCTTGTCCTTCAGAACATCCAGTTACTGAGTGACACATCAGTGAATTTTCAGATCTCCTTTTGATGTAAGATCTCGACAGGATTCTGACAATATTTCAAAGGTCAGTCCTGTCACCACAGAAATCCCATAGGAGCAGACTTCATTCTCTCTCTGATTTGGCTTTTATAGGTAGATGGATGACACAGAATCAGCTCCTCAAGTAGCCCTGTGTAACTAGCAGGACGTGTTTGAAATGTTGCCTCTCTCTTTGGGAGTATAGCTTTTAGGCTGCAGAAAATTAACTCAAAGGAGTAAATGAAATATAATTAACAAAGATGACAGAAGAGACAGCAGTGGCTCGCTTTCTTTTTGTAATGATAATAAAGGGAAACAAAGTATTGTGACCATTGAGAGGAGTCTGGTAGGGATTATTCAACTGCAGGACACAATGGCCATATCCTTCTCTCAGATGTGATGAACTTGGAGTCCTTTCACACAAATGAGACATGTCATGGTGTCTTAAGTAGGCATCAGCTCTGCCATTGTCAGGATCTATTTTTTCCCTACGCATTTTGAGCTCAAACAAATCTTCTCAGCCAGAAACTGTCACTAAAACCTAGTAAATACTGTAAAATAACAAAAATTATTACAATTTTTAATAGCAAAAAATAACCATTTCACTCTGAAAAACCTACAAGCCATACTAGGCTGACACATTATTACAATTTTTGTTTTTGTTCTTCATATCACTGAGTTGTAAAGACAGAAAGGCCACCTGAATGAGTCCTCACTGCTGACAGGTTTTTGCAATTACATATGTACTATCCCTTCCATCACATGTTGGCATGGATACATAAGCAGAGACAACAGTCTTCTAATAGCACCTCTGGCCTCATTCACATTCACACTGCCAAACGATTTCTGTCCATGGAAATAACCAGTGTTCTGCAAACTGTTATGCAGGAGTGAAAAAGGAGCAGGGAATAATAGCCAGCTCAGGCATTTTTTTTCCAAAAGTAGACAATTCACAAGATTTCAGGAAGATACCCTACATTAAACACTGGTAGATTTCAATGCTAGAAGTGCATTACCAAGTTCACTGATATGACTGTCAAGAAATAATCACACCCTGGAAACACTGCTTTATGGGTGAAACCCCAGTGTGATCACAACTGTGAGACAAAAGAGTGCTCTTGACAGCAAGTTTGCATCATAACAGAAGAGATGAGTAGCAATGATAAGCTGGCTCAGGCCTAAAAAGCCATCTCTTAATAATAGTCTCCTTTACATATTCTTAACTTTATATAAATATCTTATTGTAAGCAACAACTCCATAAATTAAAGGTTGTTGAATATTCTAGCATAGTACAGAATAACTTTTTTTTTTTTGTTATTAAAAAGAAACTTTGGACACTTTACCTTGAACTAACTATACAATAGAGTGCATGAGGTTCTGCATAACGGACTGAAGATGTTCTGCTGACTCGTCCGAATTCAAAAAATGTTTTAAATATTCTAAAATCAGAAGTACATAAAAGACTATAAAATATGCCTGATACTCTTGCTTCCAACAAAAAACATTCTAGAAAGGCATGCTGTAGGAGAAATACAGAAAAATAATTCAAGGGCACAGAGGACGTTTTTTCAAATTTACTCCTTTGCAGTGGCACATACAGGAGAAACAGGTTCTACAATAGCAGAGTATATATAGCACATACTTTTATAAAATTTGTCACCGCATCTAAAAAAATGTCTTTTGCAAAGAGTGTTTTCTAAAAAGGAGATACCTTTCCCTTATTGTGATGCCAGAAATCAAATTGAAGTCTTAAAAATGAACACTCCCTCAGCATAAGCTTGTTGTATTAGAAAATCTATTTCTATTTTCTTGTGGGAAAATAGGCTGACCTTGGACCTGAAAGCTGGGAAAAAAAAAAGAAAGACCAAACCACCCTGGAAATGACAAGAGATTATTTGTTTAGTCAACATATTTTTGTAGAACTACACGCTAGCTTTTACAGGAACATGCAAGAGTGAAAACAGCTTACTTCAACGTTTCAGCAAGGAAAAAGCTCTGCTGTACATCGTCATATGTAGGAGATGATGAGTAGACATCCTTGACGCCAGAGAAGCCACCACTAACTCGGCAATACTTGTCAATTGCCTGCAAAAGGGGAGGTAAAAAAAAAAAAAAAAAAAAAAAGCAATTCAATTGTAAAATAAAATTTGAAAACACCAAAATAACAAAACAACAGGATTGATCAACAAAGGAGGAAATTCTTTCCACTCTGCATAATTTAGTCGTGTCAGATGACATTGTGGAATGGGAAAAGAAGTAAATAAATGAGGACTGAACACATACAAAAGTAAAATCCTTCCAAGGCTACTAAAGACATTTGGCAAACCACTAGAAGCTAGAAAAAGGTATTCTGGGGAAGAATTTCCTAGGTACTCACTGTTCACTGATATTGATGGGAGGACACAGCCTCAGCAGACTTTAGCTTTAAGCTGGCATAGCTGCTTGTAAGTAACATTGTGTAGAACATTCATCACTCAATTAAGGTAACATGGGCTATGGGAAGATGACAAACACTCCTGGATTTTGCAGCTGGAAGAGTTTGAAGAGTTACAGAACTGTGACTTATAACTAGTCATAGAGACTTTCTGAAGGTAGGGTACTAATACAGTACTAATATTCAGGGAAACACTGATTTCATCTTATACACTCTTCCAGCTACTTCTTTCTCCACACAATTCCATCTCCTATAAGTGCTTCTCTCTTTGTCCCTTATACAGTTGAAACTCAAGTCAGCTCGTGTGCCAGACTTCAAAGCAGTTCTTTATGTTTAAAGCATCAACTTTAAACCAATCAGCATTTCAGGCAGAGAGGGGCCAATGGATTCTGGATTCACAAACCACCTTGTTAATCAGCTCCAACACAGTACAGCAAAAATCACGCTGGAAGAGGAGAACTGAGAAGAATGCATCAGTAGTGCAGAATCCTTACACTCATCATTTGGCTGACAAACATAATCTTACAGCATGCCAGGATATCAGCCACTAAAATCAGCCCCAAAGCTATGACAATGAAATGATTCACAGATTGTTTCTGCCTCCCCCCTGTTTTGGTGGTGTGTCCTCAGCAGACAGCTGCTCTCTTAACAGATTCATGTGGGGACAGAAAAGGTAGAGTGATGAAGAAAACTCCTTGGCTTAGGCTATCTGTCATTACCAACTACTGTACACAGCTACCTGTACTTGAGTAATCTAAGACTTGGCCCATTAGTTTGCATGAAGCTTCTCTCCACACAGCTCTAGGCCTGGATTTCCTTTGTTTCTTGGCAAGTGTAATTCATGATATATTTCCTTATTGTAAGTGAAGCTTCCTGTAGTTTTGGATGGAAACATTTCCTTTTTTGTTGGGGTTTGAGCATGTAAGAAGAAAGTATCTGTATGAATTTTGTTCTGATCTGGTTACTGTTGCAATCCAGGACTATACTGAGACTATTCACATTTTAAGATATAGGTTGACCAAGTTCTTTCTACAGTATGGAGATAAAATTGTATGTCTAATCCAAGAGTATCAAACTCATGACAATCTCTTTGCATGTTCTTACACACCACAAGTGATGCTTGCTACTGCATGGTAGCCAAAGGAAGGGGAAAAAAAGAAAAAAGGAAAAAATGAATTTCTTGACTTCAGAAGAAATAATGCACGTGTTCTTTACAGAACTACTTCCTCATTCCTCCTTGCAAGACTACAAGCCACTAGGCAAGTGTCATACAAATAAACATGACACTTAAACTAAAGCACTTTGGGTTTCTATGTAGGAAATAACCGGCATCCTCTTGCAACTATTTTTTTTAATAATAGTGCTGAACACACTCTTGTCTCTGCTCTGGAATGTGACAAGCTATGGAGAATGTTTGGACAACTACCATTCTGCCATCATCAAACTGTGCTCAGGCAGGAGAACCTTGCCCAGGAGAACCTCACAATTTTCAGTAAACCCAAAGTCAAGGTCTTGCATCTGGGTCAAGGCAACACGCAATACCAATACAACCTGGAGGATGAAAGGATTGAGTGCAGCCCTGCTGGAAAGGACCTGGGGACATGGGAGGATGGGGATGATGCCCTTCGGTGTGATGCAGTGTTGTTTCTAGCAAAGGTCTCAGTTGCACCCTGGAGTATGCTTCTCATTCTTGACATGCCTGGACAATATCTGACATTCAAATGGGCAACCACCATGCTTTTACTGCTTCCCACATTGTCTCCTGTCCAGTAGATCATAACTTCTTATGTAGCGACAGGGCAATATTACCTGCTGGCAGACCTAGCCACCTTATCTGAGCTAACGTATTGACTCCACCATTCCCTGGTCATTGCATGGGCGTATACTGTTTGCTGCCACATTCTGGATATCAAACCACATGTCTCTGCCTCAGATTGGTTGGATATGGATATTCCGATCCTGAGTGGCTCACTGAGCAATCCAAAGTGTAAGTCCTTGGAAGACTGCCCATCTATCTGTGCAGATGTACAATGCACAGTCACTCAGTTCCTGGGTTATAATCAAGCTATACCTTTCTTCTGCACCATGCCAAAGCTGACATCAGAAACCAATCGGGGTGCAGGATAGAACCCTGATGCTGCCACAAACCCCAACCAAACTCTTCCCAGTTTATGTGTAAATCTAATTCAGCAGATAGGGTGAGATCAAATACACAAAATGCCTGTGCTTGTTTGACAGCTAATTTGGCTTGCTGGAGAGCACTTTGTTCCATCCGTCTTCAATCCCATGATTGGTCTTTCTTAGTCAATACAGAGGCCTCAGGACGTGTGCAAGGTGGGATATAAAGGTCCTGCAATAGCCCAGGATGCCCCAAAATTCTTGTAGTTGTTCTGCTGCAGTTGATACTGGAAATGCCTGTATTTATCAATATTTTTTCTGCACTGCTCAAATATTGCACCTTGATCTTAGGAACTCAGTTTCTCCAAGGTTGGCCACTTATTGAGTGGTCTGTTGAATTATGGCCTTGGAGGCCACCAAAGGATTTAAGATCACTACAAGAGTCCCATAGTGATGGGAAGGAGCTTGCATAGAATTAAGTCTCTCATCCCCATGGTGAATTTGACCAAGAAGAGAAGGAAGTGTCCTCACAGGTGGCTTCCCCCCTACCTTGCTCCCAGATGCAGTTCTGGAGCTCTTCCATAGAATTCCATAAACCACTATGGATGGGTGTATCTGGTTTATTAGGCCACATGAGTTGACAGGCTACCATAATCCACTGAATTAAGGAATGATTTTCCTCACTGTTTATGACAGTGGTATATAGCCTTTGCATCAGTGCTGGCTGTGTCATGATAGAGGCCAGTTTGAAATTTCTCATTTATCATGACACTTTTGGCTCCCATATCCCATAGTCTTAACAGCTAGGCCAGGATACTTTCCATAGGCCTTTGCTGGAACCACTGGTCCAAGTCCACCAATTCAGTGGCCATACATGGGCACGCGGTAACATGCATCATAGACTGAGGAGGAAGCTACTCTTTGGGTGGTACCTCCTTAGGTCTTTCTTGGATTTTCTTTGGTTTTCTTTTTTTTTTTTTAGTGACTACTTGCTGAATTTCTAGAGGGTCCAGTTCTACCAGAGCCTCTAGTTCAGATTTTTTAGAATTCTCTTTTCCAACACTGTCAGGGCCATAGGGGTCTGATTGCTTGGGGTCCTCTTCATTTGTGAGAAGCAAGGCCCTAATAAGGACCAATCACTGGTTCAGGCCAAGTGTATGGTTCCCATACACTTAACAAAATGATGCTAATTTTTACTGCACCTTAGACCACACGGTATTCCTAGAAGACTGGCAGAGTATCAAAGGAATGCTATTATTCAGAGGCAATGGCAAGCTGACTGGATAAATACAGGATGGCAGATCTAAAGTTCCAAACAATTTTGGAAACACAAATAAATGCATATGAAAGAACAAGAGGACAACTGATGCTGGTAAGTATGGTTTTTACAGAAACCATAATTCTCAGCAAACTTGTAGACTTCAAAGAATGAAATCAAAGTAGTAAAGTAGTAAAAAAGTAGTAAAAAGGAAACTGCAAAGGTATAAGAAACATTTTTGAAGCAATTGACATGGTATCATAACACATAATGATAAGAAGAAAATAGCTCTATACCTTACCAATATCATTATATTATCATAATACTAAAAACCGACCAACAGTAATTTAACAGTGAACTGGAAATGTGGACCCGTCACTGGATAGGTTACTTTTCACAGAGATTCAACAAGGGGTCACACCTTAATTTTCACTAAATCACTGCATAGCTGCTGCTGGCAAATATGATATATATGTGAATAACAGCAGTCAGTGTAATCTGGGGGAAACTAGAGTCCTAACAAAATGAGTTTTGTATGGCCAGATACAAAATCCTAGACCTAGAAATAAAGACTGGGAGTACAGAACCAGATTAGTCTGGAAAGTAGACACTTAAAAGAATCCAGTGGCCACTAGAGACAAGTTAGTATGAGTTCCTCCTAGGATGTTGAGATAGGTACACACACAGGGGTAGCAAAAAGAAGCAGGCATGTAGTTTTAATTTTACATAGGGCTGTAGGTAAAGACAACAACTGGAATACACCATTTCAGATTTCATTTTTTAAAAAGCAGGATGAACATCTGAGGTGGGTGCAGGCATTTGGAGAAAATGCTTTACAGTGGGAGAAAGTACAATTCCTTAAGACAATCCAGTAGTAGGCTTATTATAATCTGTGAAAACTGGAAAGAAACTACGGGCAATAAAACACATTTTTATATGCTACAGGGAGTCATAGGAAAGTTCAATGATTGACATCTAGAACTAGAAAAATTCAAATGGGAAATAAAGCATATCTTTTTAACAGCATAAATAATTAAATAATGCAACAAACTACCAGAGGAATTAGATTTTCCACTCATTCAAATCAATAGCAGAACAGAAAAATATGCAATACTGTACTCAAGCCAAATACGTATCCCTGGGCTCAAAAATGAGGCCATGTGAAATTTCAGGGCCTGTGACAGGATCAAGGTTTTTTTTGGAACTAGAATTGTAGTTGCCTCTAGACTAGATCCCAGTTCTATCAGTCCTTCTGAGGACAGGCAGGTATTCAACAATTCAAGGAAGCAAGTAAAGGAGACCACCAAGAACTCAGTCAACAAACATTAGGTTGAATAGAACAAAAAAAAGGAAAAAAAAAGGACAGTTTCACATTCTGAAACAAAATTCATTTTGAGCTCTGCAGACAAGGACTTGGGTGTCGCGGTGGACAACAGGTTGGCCATGAGCCAGCAGTGTACCCTCGTGGCCAAGAAGGCAAATGGTGTCCTGGGGTCCATTAAGAAGAGCATGACCAGCAGGTTGACGAGGTTGATCCTTTTTCACTACTCTGCTCTGGTGAGGCCACATTTGGAGCACTGTGCCCAGATCTGGGCTTCACAGTTCAAGAAAGACAGGGAACTATTGGAAATAGTCCAGTAGAGGGCCACCAAGACAATTAAGGGTGTGTCTTTTTTTTTTATAAGGAAAGGCTGAGAGACCTGCGACTGTTCAGCCTGGAGGAGACTGGGAAGGGATTTCATCATTGTTTATAAATATCTAATGGATGGGAATCAAGTGAGTATGGTCAAATTCATTTCAACAGCACTCAGCAACAGGACAAGGAGCACAGATTGGCACATAGAAAGTGTCATCATCTGAAAATGAAGAAAAACTTCTTTACTTTGAGGGTCACAGAGCACTGGAACAGGCTATCCAGAGAAATTGTGGAGTCTCCTTCTTTGGAGACATTCCAAACCCATCTTGGTGCTTTCCTGTGTTATCTACTCTAGGGAACCTGCCTTAGCAGGTAGGATGGAATAGGAGATCTCCAGAGGACCCTCCTGACCCCTACAATTCTGTTGTTTTCCCCTGAAGTGCAAAGCACCTACTAAAATTCTCATGAGAAAAAAAAAAAAAATTGCTATGAGAACAATATAATACAAATTTCAAAATATATTCAGTGGTCAAAAGGCAACAGAAAAGTAGTAAGGAACTGGCTAGAGGACCGTTCCCAACAGGTGGTGGTTAATGGAGTGAAGTCCAGCTGGCGACCTGTTTCAAGTGGTGTCCTCCAGGGGTTGGTACTGGGGCCTATCTTGTTTAATATCTTTATTAATGACCTAGATGAGGGCATTGAGTGTACCCTCAATAAGTTTGCAGATGACACCAAGTTGGGAGGTGGTGTCGATCTGCCTGAGGGTAGGGAGGCCCTTCAGAGGGATCTAGATAAGCTGGATCACTGGACTGAGGTGAATGGGATGAGGTTCAACAAGGCCAAGTGTCAGGTCCTGCACTTTGGCCACAACAACCCATGCAGCGCTATAGGCTTGGGGACAAGTGGCTGGATGACTGTGAAGAGGAAAGGGACCTGGGGGTGCTGGTTGATGCTTGGCTGAACATGAGCCAACAGTGTGTCCAAGTGGCCAATAGGGCCAACAGCATCCTGGCCTGCATTAGAAATAGAAATGGCCAGCAGGAGCAGGGAGGTAATCATCCCCCTGTACTCAGCACTGGTGAGGCCACACCTCGAGTATTGTGCTCAGTTTTGGGCCCCTCACTACAGGAAAGACATTGAGGCCCTGGAGCGCATCCAGAGAAGGGCAATGAAACTGGTGAGGAGTCTGGAGCACAAATCTTATGAGAAGCGGCTGAGGGAGCTGGGATTGCTTAGTTTGGAGAAGAGGAGGCTCAGGGGAGACCTCATTGCACTTCCTGAAGGAAGGTTGTGGTGAAGAGGGGTTTAGCCTCTTCTCCCAGGCAACAAACAGGACCTGAGGAAATGGCCACAAGTTGTACCAGAGGTTTAGGTTGGACATGAGGAAAAACTTTTTGTCTCAGAGAGTGGTCAGTCACTGGAATGGCCTGCGGTGGTGGAATTGCTGTCCCTGGCAGTGTTCAAGAGGTGCCTGGATGAGGAGCTACAAGATATGGTTTAGTTTGCGGTAGCAATGGCGATGAGAAGACAGTTGGACTAGATGATCTTACAGGTTGTTTCCAACCTTGTGATTCTATGATACTATGATTCTAAGTGAATAAATGCTGTGTCAGACAAAAGCAGCAAGCTAACTGCTCTGTGTATTATACTAGCTTATTTACAAATGGAGGAGCAAGCACAGCCAGAACTGTGTGTGGCATGGAAGCAAAGAAAGCAGTGAGTAGGTGTGAGGAGTAAACACAAGAACTTATTATCTCTATGCAGGGAACAGAAAGCCCTGGGAGCAGAAAACTTTCCAAGCTCCTCTGTTAGTATGATGGTGAAGGAAGGAAAAACTAATTGTGGGAGGGAGAACTAGACAAAAACATTTACGAAGAGTTCAAAAACATTCTACGGTTATATCGGATAAAGAAACTACTGAGGAAGTAAGCAGAAAAAGGCACTCTACAAGGATAGAGGAAGATACACACATGGGGTACTTGATTTACACAACTTCAATGCAGATGCCTTAAGATAAAATAAAATCCTACCCTGCATATACAGAAATCTGGAGACAGGAAGAGGAAGGGTTTTGTTTGAAAGCATTAGTAGGAACAAAAATATGAGAGCAAGATGGAGAAAATGTAAAAAAAAAAAAAAAAAAAAAAAAGCTCTGCGCTGTCCTATAAAGACAGATCCTGTCTTGAAAAATTTTGTATTTGTTTATTCTTTAACTTACTACAAAGGTCATAATCTCATCCTGGATCACAGAGCCAGTGCTTCTGACAAGAGCTGGTGTTAGATCAGCAGGCATTTGTTGCATACACACTGACAAGGGATAGGTTACTAAATCCATTTCTTTGTCATATTAGACACATTTATAGCGGGGGCAGCAGGGAAGATATGACTTAATGTTGGTGCTGATATGACTTATATTTTAGAGATAGTGGCAATGAATTTTAGAATAAAAATGTGACGTACATGGAACCTCAGTGCAGAATAATATGATGCTGGTTATAACCAAACAGTCTACAAGGCAGAACCTAACCAAGACTAAGGCGCTATCTTAAAATACTAAGATTCTTCTACATTATTACAACTACATTGAGAAAAGCATATATATGAGCCAAGCTAAATACCATGAACCTGCCTTCTCAACAGATAAGTATTAGTTTCAAGTACTTTTTTCTGGATCTCTTGCCTCCTGCATGGTTCTGACATGCAGATCAAAGTTTCTGCAGGCTCTTGAATCCTCTCTTCCCTGGCTCTTTCCTCATCTCATCTGCCCAGCTACAGTAAATTAGTGTCTTGTTACCTTGAATGTTTATTCTCACATTCAAAAATGGCTTTGAGGTATGTTTCCAAATACTGCTGGAGCTATAATGAAGTGGAGGAGCTGTAGTGGCCCACTGGCTGCTCAGATCTTGAAAAGAATCAGAAAACTGCTGGAAAAGCAATATAGTTTTGCATGACCCTGGCACAGACCAGCAGGTGGAAGCAGTGAGAACCGGGAGATCAGAAAAAGCTCACTGTTCAGCTCCAGGAAGCATACAAAGTGAGAAACCTTTCCTAGATTATAATAAGTTTTACAATTAGAAAATGATATTTTCATATGAAAATGGTATCTTTTTACCCATATGACCAGCCTATAATCAGTAACTATCAGACATCTGTGTACAAGGGATGAATGAGAGAAGGCCACAAACACAGAGATTCAGATTTTTAGTATAAATCTCTGTGCTTTCATAGACCAATGCAAATATTTCCAATGAGAAAGACTCAAGAACATTTTCACACTCAGGAATTTGGTTAGGATATATAATGATCAGATTCAAATCCAGCAAAGCATCCAAACAAGGGAGTAACAATCTCTAAAATACCTTTGCAAAAATGTTTAAGTTCTGCCTTAGGTATTATTGCTTATTCACTTTCCTTTACAGTCTGCTTCTTGCGATGCTGGATTTTTTCACTATAATTAAGTAATTAAAAGTGACTGGCAATCTGATTTCCTTCCATTTAGACAAATATGAAAAGAAAACGCCATGATACCAATCCACATGTTTACATGCTATCCAGTCTACAGACCATCTGAGTTTTAACAGTAGACCAAGAAGAAACATTAAGAACAGCAGTGTCTTTTAAAGCACACAAGCGCTAATACACATTTAATAAAGTTATTTATAATACATTTTTGTTTCCCAGTATAAATTAACTTCTCTTGAGGGCTGAGGACCACTGACTACATTAGGTGTCATGACCAGTAACTTGTATTCCAAGCCTGAAGCTCACCAGCTGTACAATGCTGAACACGCCTTTCTACTGTTTGTCTGTTTCAGTAGTAGGGAAAAACAAAAAGCAAGAAACAAAAAAACCCAACCAGGAATAACAACACACATTTCCATATGTATGCTAGCTTACTGGGACTTGTGAAAATAAAGTATTTGAAGTGTTTCAGCTACAAAAGGAAAATAAGTGGAATTAATTTACTGACAGATAATAAATAGTTACCTGTGTTGCCTCCCAGCCCCACTGCCTGTACTTGGGATCGTGCGTGAATCTCCACATATACCAGTAGGTCTCAATCACCTCCGGTCTTAGGATATAATACTTTTCATTCTGACGCACTGCCACTGCCTCTACACCACCATCAAATTTGAATGCTTCTGGACCCAGCTTTAATGCTGCAGAGCAAAGAGAAAAAAAAAAGAGAGGAAAAAAAAGGAACATTTTTACTCCTGACAAACCATAGGAGGAAGTGGAGGCAGCTACATCCCAAGCATGTGAGAGAAGCAGGAACTAGCTCATCCTCAAGCAGTCTCATAAATATTTCCTACTGTTGAGGACTTTTCTTATGAACTTATTCAATTCCTGGGAGAAAACTACCTATCTTTACAGGCATACAGTAATCCTCTTGAAAACTAATGAAACACAAAGAATATGAACACATTCATATATACAATTATGGCATAAAATTAAAGTGACTGACATCAATTCTTGAGCAGCAAAAGAAACAAAAGGGTCAACAACTGTTTTACAGCCTTTTGAACCTACCCAGAACAGCTGGAAAAGATCTTACAACAAAAACAGACATCACCACCCCAAATAAGCTATCTCATTCAAACTCATGGTTTAGGGTAGTGCTGTCAGGCCACCAAAGCTCATGCGCTTCCTAATGGAATCCTCTAGTAAAATGTTTACAACTAGTCAATGGAAACTTAGCCACATCTGAAAATAAATCTCAAACAAAGAGATTTGCTGCTTCTGCCCTTAAAGGAAGATGTAACAGCACAGTGCCAGCATCTGGAGGTCTATTTTCAGCTTGGTTGCTACTAGATCTATTCAATAGTCCCTAGCTCTCCTGCTGGAGAAGAGAGTGAACAACTGATTCTCACTCAACGTTTTCAATCCCCTGGTGATTTTGCAACTCTGTCATACCATCTTTCTTACCTAAAACATTTATTTTCCATATGAAAGAATCCTATCTGATTCACTTGTACCTTTTATGGAAATTATTCTGTACCTTCAGTTTTTCTCCCAGGGCTCTCTCTGCAACTTTTCCAACCCAACTACAGTGTTATTGAAATGTGTGGACTAGTTTGAATTAAATGTACTGGCAAAATTAATATAGCTACATAATAATGCTCTCTCTTTTGTTTCCTCTCAGTTTGTTTTTTCCTGATCAATACAGAGAGTTGGTATTTTCATAATGTTGTCAGTTAAGAGCTCATCATCTTATACATGAGATCTGAAATTATTTTTTTCATAGGTGCCTTACTTTACATTTAACTATGCTGAGCTTAATTAACTCAGTTATTACTCAGTAAGTCAACCTCATAAGATCCTGGTGCAATTTTTCAGCTTTCTGTCATTACTGATACCCCAATAGCCTTTTCTCAGTTGCCATCAGTGTGCATACTGTTCATGCTCTTTTCCTGAACACTTATATACATGTATATTCTATATGTAAATATACATACACATTAAAATATAAAATTTACCTTTATACATGTATTATAAATAGAATTACATATTAAACAGATTACCAATGATCACCATCTCTCAAAGAGATGAATAATTGTATCTGCCCCATTTGTCCTATTCATCTGGCTTATTTTGCACTGCAGTTGCCAAACTTAAAATAACAGCTAATGCCATACCCAGATTCTGGGGATACTTCCTATCAGAATCTTCAAAGATGCACAAAAAACTTCATCATAAAATAATCACTCTGTAGACAAAACTTTAAGTACTATCAGCTAATGAATGGGAAAAATCTTACACATAAAGAGTAGTATATTTTACTTAGAATACCATGTACTATAAAACATCACATTCAATGAGCTATATAGATAATCTTGCTTACTAATTCAATCTCCGCAATACCTGCAAAAGCAAATTATTTATTTTAACTTGTTAGTGGTATTTTTATTCTTTCAGTTTTGTTGGGCATCTTTTTTCTTTATAACTTATGGATTTCACATTATTAGCTGTTTTATGCCACTGCCATATCATTTAATGGTGTATATGTTAAGCATTTAAAAAAGAGTTGCCAAGTAACCATAATACTTCCAGGTGTGCAGTCCACAAGCATAAACTCTGGCAAACCTTGCACCAGAAGGACACAAAACTTTTAGCCTTGTCAAAGTCCACTGACAGCATTATGACCTCTTCTGCTCAGCCAATATACTGGCACACAGATCAAAGCACAACTTGCATCTTTAGTTCTCTCAGCCTTCCCTCCAAATTGACAGCACACCCAACTACAGAAAAATCTCGAAATCTTCTGCCAAAGGATGGGAGATCTAGGATGACTGCAGCAATAATCTATCAACAGCTTATGGTAAAGAAAAAAAGCAGATCAGGTATGAAGCCAAAGTATGTATGGATTACATACTCCCAGAGAACGTGGATTCAGGTAACACTACTCTATGGCTCAGAGACAGATCAGAATCATGCCTGTATACTTCACCTTCCAAAGATCATCAGCTTCTTCCAGTGAATCAGAAAGGCAACTCACAGGGACTGCTAGGTTGACCATCAGCTTGAGTAGAATCTACAGGGATTTTCAAAGACCCGTAGAAAGAGCCTGAGCTCAGGATATTCTCAGTCACTTTTCCAGCCTACAACTCAGGAGTCTGAAAGTCTTGGAGAACACTAAGAGGTGAATCAGTTTATCAGAGTGACTGTGTCCCTGCATAAATCCATTACTGTCCACATGACTGTAAATGCTAACTGTCACTGGGACATAATGCTGATTGAAATACAACAGGAAAAGTTACAAGGACTTTCCACTTCTCTGTACTAATCAGCACTATGGCACAGACAGCATCGTAAGAGATGAAATGGGTAACATTGCTGAAAGAATGCAATCTGATGAGAAAGGGAATACAAATGATGGAGTAACACCATGAAGGATTAGGGCAAAACTTGTAACAAGCAGTGTAATAGAAGACCGTCAGGTAAACAGACCAACTTATATTTGAACAATGAGACTTCAAAAACAACTTCAAAAAACAGCATGCAAATAGTACATTCTTCCAAAGAGGTAAGTCTGCTAGTCATTTCAGATTTGCTCCTAAAAAACTGCAAGGTGGCAACATAGTTTAACTGTTCAAAGCTAACTTGACGGTAATGATTAACATGTTTTCAGTTAATCAGTCTCCAGGGTAATAAAAACAAATACTTTCACCTAAGTTGGGTGAATATGATTGCCAGGCACCTTATGGAAACAACGAAGTCTGTACAGAGATCAAACAACTGACTTTTGAACTAGAATTGGTCTACCAGTTCCACTATTATTTTTGACTGAAATATGAAATAAGGCATTCTTAAATTTAAGAGACATTAGTCCTCTTCTCTGTAGAGGTGGGATGTTCCCCAGCATCACAAATCTGAACTGAGATTACAAACAAACACATTGATCTTGTAAGTCCAAAATGGAGTTACATCCTTCCTCCACATGTGAAAAAGCTATGCATCTTCACACTGACTTATACTGGCTAAAGCAGTAGCAACCACCAACAGTTGGCGTTATGCAGAGAGGCAAAGATAGTCTCATGGCCCAAGACTAAATTCTTTGCTTTATCCAGCAGGACTTGTAGTGCAGTAGGCTGTGGACTCTCTAAGACAGCTTCACAGATCTGAGGTTGGGAGACTTGGCAGACATCAGCAACAGTCTGTCCCAAAGCTGATGGTGTCCTTGTGTTACACTTCCTATCAAGTTAAAAAAAAAAAGTTCTAAAATCTTCAGCAAGCCTCAGTAACGTACTGCAAGCATCCAAAAATTCTGCATGGGATCACTAAGACACAATCTGGGGGACCGAATACTCAAAACATCAGGAGAAAGCTCTTGTTTCAGTGATGCTAGCTCTAAGGCAAATCAGTCAGTCTATATCACTGTTCAAAACTGTGATCATGTGGCAACTTTTTCTGGTTACATGGGAAAGTGATCACTGTTGCCAAAACAGAAAGAAAGTCAGGTTTTTTTCATCAGTAAAGCGGTGAAAAAGCAGGATGCTTTATTATCTGCAGGGTAGTCCTCAATCCAAATGACAAATGGTAAACCACACATCTTTTTATCATAAGTTTAGGGATGCAAGATGAAGTATTTGAGTTGGAGAATAAGTCAGAGTACACTGGGGAGCATTGTAGACCAGCTACGGTGTGTGAGATTCTTGCAACACAAGATACTCTTCCATCTGTCACAGCTGGGAGACGATGGCCTTACATGCCTACACTGCAGGAGCAAGAACTCCTAAATACCAAGATCTGCTGCTGAGGAAAAAAAAAAAACTGGCTAGCAACAGAATGCTTGAAGTCAAGAGGTAAATAAGAGAATGCAGAGGGCCTCAAAATGTCCTGTCTCACCTCAAGGGTCTTCAGAAGCCATCAACAGGAACAAATGAATCCAAAGGACCACAGGGATGGGACCACAGAAATGACAAAAGTCTGGGTGATTCTCACATCAGTTGTGATAACTTCAGTTCCAAAGGCAAGTAAATAAGAATAGAGGCAGAAGTAAATTAAGGATAAGGGCTATATTACCTTGTTTTGTTAAAGAAGGGTGAAGACATGACAAATACTTTGTCTCACACAGGGTGACAGAATCTGCCTGAAGATACAGAATAATGTATGAGAGAGGAAAAGCAGCTTGAGAGGATACTATTACTGTCTTAAAATATTCTAATAAGTAAGAAGGCTCCAGACACAAATGTCATGGCATAAAATCACTTTAGTGCTAAACAAGCAGGTGTGCTGTCACTGCAAGACCATTTTACTTACTATTTCAATCGTAAAATCTGCTCAGACCAAAATTGCTCAAGTGGAATCTATCTGAAATAATACTACACAGAAATCTTGGCACCTAAATCGCTTGTCATGTGACCAAGAATCTCCTGTTTATTTATGTAAAATATGGAAAGCATGATTTCAGAGCAGAATTTCAGGAGATGGTATTTCATGATACGATAATTCTACCATAAAGACAGATTGCAGAAAATACAGAATTTAGTTTGCCTGATGCTGTCTGTAGTATTGAATTTTCTTTTTTCTAAGCTTGCTTTTATACCTGCAATAAGCACAATAGGACACTGACAGTTGGCAATACAATGTCCTTCTTTTCCGTAAGCGCTTTTGTTCTTTGAAATTCTGCTTTGACTGGATCTTGGAACAGCGGTTCTTTTAATACTTGCCCCTTACATAAACTTAGGCTGCTTAACGTAGTATCACAACACTAAAATACAGTAAGACCAGGCACATACTTCTGTTTATTATGAGTAATGCTGGGAAGACAAGGGAAAGGACAGTTCTGGTCTACCCAAAGGAAAAAGCTCTCTGTCCTCAGTACACAATCTCAGAGCCTTGTTGTCTCCTCTAGCAGACCAAATGGAGCAAAAGCTCTCCCAAGTCTATAAGAAAGAGAAGCTTTTGCCTATGCTGACTCAAAAATAAATGTATCAGCTGAACGAGGACAACTATCTGTCCTCCAAAAGAGAGTCTTTTTCTGTAACCAGTTAGTTCTCACATCACTATGCACAATTATATCTAAATTCTGCTGTTAAAGCGTTAAGAAGTTGTTGACATTTCACACATAGGAGATCATTATTTTCTCAGAAAAATCAGGGCAGAAAAAAAATATAAACTACTGAGACTGTAGGACTGAACAAAAGAAAACTAGGACACTGCAAATTCACAGCTGTCTGTACAACTTTCAGTCTATTCCTTGCATGTGTTCTTACACAGTCATTAAATATATAACCAAGAATTGTATCTCTCTGTCTTCTGACTTATTTAGGGTACAGAATAAAAATCTGAAGGAAAAAAAAAATAAGGGTAGCACTCGCAGCTGAAAATTTAGCATTGCCAATTCTTAGGTGTCTGATTTAAAAATTTTAATGCAAGTTTTCAAAAAGCAACAGCACCTGCAATACTATCTCCTATCTTTTTCCTTAAGTGTCCCTGTATTTTTTTTTTCGATTGGCTTTTTTTTGAAGGCAACATTATAACAATACTATGTAATCCTTGGGAATAAATACATGAATTCTCATCTTTAAAAAATGCTATGAGTAGTTCCCATCACTTCTACAAGGACGTTATTTTAGAAGCTCACATCTGAAATGGCCACATTTTCAATTTCTAGGCTATATTTATTCATGGCAAGCATATAAATTCTTGCTCTTTATGCAGCTGTGTTACTTTTAGCTTAAAATAGCTGTATTTCTTTGTAGTGTTTATCCACTGATATGACAACAAATCTATTATTTTCTTGGATATTACTTTTCTCATCTAAGCAGGCCAACTTCTTACTGTAAGATAAAGAGGTCTGTCACCCTCATCATTTTGTTGGTCCTTCTCTGCATTCCTTCTGCTTCGGATTCAGATTTGTACAGAGTATTCTGGATGACAAATTATACATGTCTTCTAAGGCAGTGGTAATATTCTCTTATCTCTGTTGAAAATTCTTCACCTGATACAGACTAAGGCTGCACTAGCATTTTTCAACTTCCAGTTTACAGAAAGAGCTCCTTTTTCTATTAACTTCTTCCTTCTGACAGTCCAGTCAAGGACTTCCTGTTTATTATTCTAAGACTCCAGATCTTAATTGTCTTTTGATTTTATACTAATAGTAAGTGCAAATAGCACACTCCAACTTTATGCATCAAGGTCACTTCAAAGACAAACAAAAAACGAGAACACGATCCAAAATTTCCAGCCCAACAATGAAGGCTGATACTGCTTTGTCATTAGTCAGGTCTTTGATCATCTCACAATTTGCACAGTAATCTCCATCCTCTCTACTCTAATTGTACTTAGCCAGAATGTATTATCACTAAAATCAGTTGAAATTGCTTTTGCAAATTTCTCACTCTACACAACTGTAAGAATAATATATATGAAATGAAAAACTGCCTTAGAATCTGGGATGACAAGAATTCACACATATTCCCTTCATCCCTGCACCCACACTGCATATTGTAGCCAACTGATGCAAAAATAGGGGCAAACATGCAGGAAGATTTCACATTTACACACCATGATGGAGATGAGAAGCAAATACAACTGACATTAAGACAATTACACTAGTATAAAAACAGTGCATACTAGAAAAGGAATAAGTCCGTAACAACTCCTAGAAATAATTTCAATAATTTCTATATTCAGCTACTGAAATAACTAGCAATGTATCTTACTTGTTCTGTCATATGACTCATGACAAGTATGTGCAATTTCAGCTCCAAGTTGCAAGTAATGTCCAGCTTTGTCATCTCGGGAACCATCTGCTCCAAGGGCAAACATTCCCCCTGCAAAACAGGTCAAATGGCCCATCTTTCTCTCAAGGTGCCCATTCTTCCACTCTCCAATGAAGGTCAGTCCTCCATTGGACTTTCTGATGAGGTGTTTTTCTATGGCCTACAAGAAGATTAAAAGAACTTTCAAATACTGCTTTAAATGCAAGTTTTACATACTAACACTTCTTAAAAGAATAAAATACTGTTTTCAAAACAAAAATATTTTTCTTTTATCAAACATACTTTTGAGCACCACATGAACAAACAGTTTTAAGAACATAATTTCAGTGAATGCAAAAAATACCCTACTTATTAAATTACATTTATGAGACCTGTCACAGGAAAGTCACAACACATTACAATTTTATTTGAGAATTAAGCACGTTCTATGGTTCACTTGACTGCTTGTCTACTTGTTAACTATGAGAAGTAAATATCTGTTCTACCATACAGTTTGTGTGCATTCACACAAATCTGCCTGATATTTTCTGTCAGCAATGTATGTAAATGCAGCACCTGTACTCCTAGTCAGCCTTTAAATAGAAACTGAAAAGAATGCTCCAGCTTCCTTTTAGCCTCTCCACAGCATCTTTTTGATTGCACGTGGTCAAAGAATGGGTGACGGTTTGTGCAGCTGTTCACAGAAGCACTATAGAAGTAGGTGAAGAAACAGCTGCTTGTTCTTTTGCACTTTTGTACCTGTGTATATTCTTGCCTGTGATTTATAAATGGCACTCTTTTGACACTGTTTGGAGAAGAGCTGAGGCAACTTGCCAAAGTTCACGAATTCCATGGAAAGTTTGCTAACTACATGGAAAAAAAATGTATTTACTTAAGCCTCTTTCAAAGAGAGCAATAATCTCCATCATCTACTGCAGTACTTACTCTCTTTACCATTATATAGTTTTTCTTGTTCTGTAACTAGAATGTTGTTATAGTGTGAGTCCATCATAAGTATCTTCTTTGTCATACAGACATTATTTCTACCTTTTTTCTAAAAATCTCTTTTGTAACAATTTGATAGGCTCACAACTTCCTCCAAAGTGCATGGAAGCTCTGGTCAGAATACTCTAATGCTTATTAAAGCGCCATAAAAAAGGCATTTATTACTCAACTCCTCATCTCCAATATCTACGATAGAAGTGAACCATTACTCCTCTCTGCTGCTTTTCTGATGCCTACAATATAATGAGATATACTGAGACCACACACAAAGAGGATGTTGCATTTAATAACTACAGGGATTATCTTGGACATGGAGGTCATGTCTGTTGCACACAGCGGTATCACTAGTATCTACACAGTATCTATGCTTGCTGTTACCATGACTCAGGTAACAAATACATGGATTAATCAGTTAACATTTTATAATTCAGATTTAAAAGTGAACAGTGAAATAGCTGTGACAATAGATATTCCAAATTAACCTTTATTTATTTATTTTAATGTTGAAGTACCATAGGGCTGCTAAAGCAGCTTTATTGAACTCAGCACTATTTGGACTATCCAGGTACTGAAATAATGTCTGACAGTCTTCCAATGTTTTCTTCAACAATTTCCCAATGGCTTTTTAAAGCAAACAAAGAACAACAACTGCCACCCAAAAAACACCAAAAAGAATTCTTGAAGTTATTATCATAAAGGACAAAATTCCATTGGTTAGGAGCCTCGTTCAGGGAAGACAATAATATAAATAGTAATTGGAAACAGTTGTACATGGTTTTTTTGTTTTGTTTTGTTTTCTGAGTAGGTTCTTGCCTTGAGATTCTGCAATGCCAGCAGCAACTTTTCTGAATCATTAGAATGCTGGGAATCTACCTCAGCTATGCTGCCAACACAGCTCTCATCGTCTTTACGTGTCTGAAGTGCATGCACTACATAAAAGCCAATGCAGTGGATTACAGGGAGATGACAGTATAATAATACAGCAGTGCTCTACGTCTTACTTGGTCTTATCATTTGGATGGTAAAATTCCACTACTATCGTCTGCTGAGTATTCTGATCTGCAGTCATCTTGGGTTCACTTCTTCACTACTGATAGATCTGAATTTTGTGCTCATGGCAGGATCCAGTGAAAAGAATGCAGAAATAACTGACTGAGGAGGAACTGACTGCTGCAAAGTGCAACAATCATGCAAATTGGTATTGAGAACTATTGTAGCTTCTACTGCCAGAATGCCTGGTGCAGTTAACTGTTAAAACCTCACCTGTCCTGAAAGTACTGACACAGGAAAGATAGGAGGTGCTGAAGATGAATCTAAGATGTATAACATTTGCTGCATTGATTCAATTATCCTAGACTGTGGCAGAAGACTGTGGCAAAAATTATATATGATGATGATAGGATTTCTATGATCATATTGTACATAAAACTTGAGGCACCATTTTTTGAGGAAGACACTGTTTTCTTAAATGAACAAGAGAGCATAAAAGAGTTTATACTAGTTATATTTTGGCTAGGTAATAATGAAGTATCATCTTCAGAGTAGCAAAACAAGCACCCTCAACAAGAAAATAAATGCAATCCTCTCAAAATACTGCACCATTCAACAACCTAAAAAGGACAACTAATATTTACAGAAATTGAAAATGAACACCTGAGCATTGTAGGAGTACTGATCCTATTGGATTAGAAAAGTTTCAGAATGTTGGAAGAGATCTGACATTTGTACCCTTGGCCGGATGGCCAGAGCCACAGAACACTCCTGTAGGTACTGCAAGGCAATGGCATGCAGCCTGACCACAATGAGTACACATGTTCTAAAGTGGACATGTGTACTTAAGCTTCCAAGGAAAACACTTATTTATACCAGAGATGTGAGAATAATTGTTGTAAATACATTCTTCCTCTGTGAAATGACAGAAACAATTATCTCAGATGCGAACACTGAACATTCTCTCTGATGTTCCTTCCTACTGTACATGACTCTACTATTACAAAAATAATTGCATTCTCTGAGCTGTTTTGGAACAGAACTTTCTATGTTGTTGATAGCTGAACACACTGCTGGATTCTTCTTTTGGATATCTAATGCTGTGCAATAACAAAGAGTGTAGATCAATTCTGTGAATCTAGCAGCTTAGAGCAGTCAAAGCGAACAGATCAAAAGGAAGCTTTCCCACCTCCAGCAAACGTGAGGAGGAGAATGCACTTTAAGTCACACTGCATACAAGGTCCACATGATGATGTTGAATGCAAATAAGTTCACCCTCAGCATTTATCACCACAAAAAATTCTCAATGAATTTCACAATTTCTGTGAATGTACACAGCAGGCCATTGAAAAGATGTGTACTCTGCAATAGAAGGCTACACTCATCTTATAGGTGCATGTAGAGGTTGTGGAGAACGGAATTTGTTCACACTTCTGCTATGAAGGATGTGGTGACTTGGCTAAGACTTTATATGGCATGGATTGGAAATCATAGCTTCCGAAAAACACATGCTATTATCGTCTTTCTTCCTCTCAGTATCTCAAGGGATGGGATGTCACAGTCCAGTGCAAGACCTGAGAGGGAGGGTGTGGTGTTATATCTTCTACACTCTTCATTATATAAGCTAAGGGAGTGCAGCATGGCAGAACAGATACCCTCTTTTAGACTGGTGGGTGCTGAGAACATTTCCAACTCTGTACTATGAGTAGGAAGAATGTATTTTACACCCTTCCCCTTCTGTTTGCATAAATGACACTAAAACTTGGTTCAATGTTTTGAAAAACAAACAATAAGAAATGTTATCTGTGAAAGAAGAACTATGGTATAGGCAACAATAAAAGAAGAGTGAAGGAATTGGCTCTGAAAATAATTGGAGATTTTAATTCAAAATTCAAACTTTAATTATGTAAGACAAATCCCTGACTCTTTGCATGTCTCTCTGCATTCTGACTCTTTGCATGTCTCTTTCAGTATTAAGTACGACTTGAAATAAATACAAAGTCTGATCCAAAAGGATGTTCCAAAATGTATAAATCAGTATTGCTCATGTAGACTCAAATGTGCACTGCTGGGGTTGGTTGAGAGAAAGCCAAAGGGGAAACATTCTGATGCACTGCAGGTCATATCACTTAGAGCCAAACCATTCCTGCTTCTTTTCTCCCTCCTATGCACCTGTCCTTTCTATCCCAGATTTGCTTTGCTGTGTCTCAAGAGACAGAGATTTGCCCACACAAAATATTTGTGAAACTGGACATACATCAAAGAGAATCAAAATTTATGTTCTCTAATTTTCAAGTGTCCAGCATCTAAGAGCAGGAATAAAATATTTAAACAGTAACCACAACAGATGTTAAAAGCTAAACAGCCATTTTAAAGCCTAGAGGACACAAAAAAACCCGCATCTAAAACTTTTGAAAGAATTCAGCTACTGCTTTGAACTACTAACACTGATTTATGCAAACCCTGGAAAGCTAACAAAATTCATAAAGACTGAGAAATAGTTGATGATGTAACAGTATTTTAAAAAGTTAACGAAAGAACCATATAAAATTAGTTATGTAGTTTGAAAAAATAAATGATTGATTGACAAGTGCATACTGATATCACTAAGAATATTAGGAATTTCTTTGGTATTGTACAAAACATTGGCCCTAACAAAATCTAGGCAGCACATACAAAGTGGATTAATTGCTGGACTGTTAGAACAGTTCAAAAGAAATTGTGAAAAATCCTCATTCTATAAAGATTCTGAAAGGATGATTTTATTCAATGGCAGTCAGCATTTCTGTCAGTAATCTGCAAGAAAAAAAATGTGAAACAAATTTGCAAATGACACAAAAAGTGATGGAGGTATAGATAGCGATAAAGGAAAAGACAGCCCTATAAAATCATACAGAAAAAGTGATAAAATAGGTTTCACTTGAACAGTCGTGTTTTAATAGAGATAAGTATAAGGTCACACATCAGGGAATTGGGAATGTAAATCACAGCAGAAGGAGTGCAGTAAATCAAAATACTGTAACAAACTTCAGAGTATAACCAACTGGGAAATGGATGAGAGTGGGATGCAAAGGTTAAGAATGCAAACACAACTCTTGGCTGGGTGAAGAGGAGAATCTAAGAAGAAACCACGTGGTTATTAGAATTAGAAGAACCATTACTGAAACTACATATCTAAGTCTCCACAGACTTAAAGACACTGGAAAGTACTTAGAGCTTAAGAAGTTATTCAAAGTCTGGAAGAACTGTTTTATAATGTGACATACAAAGATATCATGTATCTCTTTCAGAAGAGCATGCCTCATACTTTTGTTGGTAACAGCTACATGATAGGATACTCCTCTAAAACAATGTAAAAAAGTTCAAGTCCTTGAAATGCAAAGCTGACGAAATTCAGGTCTGAAATAAGACACATTACAGTTTCAAAGCAACTTCAACTGGAATTTCATTACATTTATTTTTTAAAATGTGAATTTTCCGAACACAAAGAACAGGGATTTTTCTTTAGGAAACTGCCTGCACTATAATTGAACTTTCAAGGCTTGTGTTGAAAGCAACACGACATGCACAGAGGTTGGAACAGGTTTGACACCAAGAATCAATCTGCATGTGGACAAGATCACACAATCCCTGCTGCTATTTGCACCACAGCCAACTCAACTGAAGCTAGCTTTACTGTCATTCTCTGTTATTCTTAACTGCATCTTAGGTACGTGGACATATATGGGTACAAGTGAGACCAATAAAATAAGATGCCTGTGTAGGGGCACACTCAGGAATAAAAGTCATACATCATAAAGCTCAGAGGCATCACAAAAAAGTCCCTACCTGAAATCCCCCTTATCTGCCTCTGATCTACTCAGGCTGGCACTACTTGATTTGTGAGAACAAACAAGACCATATTACAAAAGATTGATAGAGCAAGAAAGAGGTATGAATTGCATTTTATAAGATAAATATCAAATATAACAACTAAACATTTTAGAAAATAATTTGAAGAATAAAACAAATCAAGACTTTTAATTTCTTGAATTACTCTGAATCTGGGATTAAAAAACAAACAAAAACTTAGTCATCTTGTACATCTTACATTAAGAGTTATTTCCAATAAAATGTTCTTTGGATTATTCCACTCTAACACTTTGGATGAGCTGACGTTTTTAGCACAGCAATTTGCATCAGATATATTCCACAATAGTACTTTTTAAATTACTCAGGGAAAAAGTTTACATAATCAAAACAAGTCCTATACATTGTTGCTTTTTTACTTTTTCAATCTTCAAATATGCTTTTTAAGTTCTACTATACAGGAAAACTGAATGAATTATAATCACCTCAATGGCATCGTCGTACATTTTTCTTGCTTCTGTGTCCGTTTTGTCTGACATAAGCCAGGCTTTCAATAAATATTCATAAAAACTGTCTCCCAGCCCGCCCACAGATGTGTGATCTGCAGGAAGAAAAGAGGTAAAGAAAAGTTGAAGAGCTTATATAATAGCACCTTTCATTTATTTAAAACATAAGCTTACATTTGAATATATACGACTGTAGAATTATCATTATTTTAAGCCTATTTATTAGAACAAGGCTGTAATGTATTCCCTTCCAACTTTTTTCATAGATCTGAATACTCATAGCAGGCAGGGTAATTTTCCATGCTCGCTACTTGTTTTCTATACAGACTGTGCCTTATGTCACAAATTTAATTTAACCAAAGTTTTTACTTAATTCCACAGTACCTAACTGTTCTGCTGCTAGCGTTGTATATATTATGTGTGTGTGTGTGCGTGTATGTACTAAAGCGTAAGAGCTCAGTATCCAGGATGCAACTAGGTCATGTGGCTGGCTATAAATCACCATGAACTAAAAGGAATCTAATTTTTCCAGATTTTTAGTTCTAACAGAACAGCTACTTAACAGACTAATGAATTTCTCAAAGTAAATGCTCTTATTTAAATTCTTCCTTGTACACCACAAGCCCTTCTCTGTTTCTCTAAGCTTGAGCAGCCATACCATGTGCTACACTGCAAGGCTGTCTGAATACCAGAATTCAGCACCACATAACTTAGATCTCCTAATGCACAGGTAACTTTCTGTCACCTTCTTCCTTTCTTGCAGAGATGACCTTTCACAAGTAGCACAGTAGCGTCACATGCAACTCTGTGCTGACAGACAACCTAAGAAGTATCTATGTTTTCTGTCTGGGTGATATCACACATCCTTCTCACATGAAGCTTACTGATGGTCTGACAGTGTTCCTGTTCCAACCAAGGTGAGCACTCTCTCAATACACACACTTCATTCAAAAACTGTTATGATCTCTGAGATTTAATAAGACTTCCAAGCAGAACAGCACATAGCCTCTTCATTTTCAGTATAACAGCTGGTATCAGAAGTTTTAGTCTGCTCACTACAGAGTGAGGAAATATTTAAGAATGACTTTGTCACAACGCCAGAAATCCACTGCCCTATGCACAGTTGTTATAATCATGCAACTCCCATTTCACTATATGGGAAAATAAATAAATAAAGATGCAATGTTTCCTTTCAAACTTCCTCAGAAAAGGAATTTTTTGTTTGTACTATTTACAAACTTTCTGGGATAAAGGTGTAAAAGAAAAAGTAGAGCTCTCCCGTTTTTTACTGCAAGCACTGCTATGTCCTGCATGCTTCCTTGTCTCTAGAGTTACGAGCAGAAATTCAGAGCTGGTAGATGCTTTTACCTAATTCTTCTTGCTGCCTCTCAACTCCTCTGCTAATTACTCAAGGATTTCTGAACATAAGTAGAGGCAAACAGAAAGCCTGTTAGCTTTCCCATGTGTTTCGGTTGTGAGTTTGGGGAAAATAATTTTATACCCCTTTTTCCATCCCAGCACCTCTGAGATTTTCATACCCAACTATTCTGTGATTTAACTAAAAACAATCAGTTTTCCAGTTCTGAGCTGTAAGAGGGCATTCAGGCAATGAGCCATTTTCTTCCCCATGTGCAAGCACCAGAAATTACACCTTCAAGGAATGATTACTCTCACACAGACAGGAGAACTAAAGGTCCATGGTTGTCAGAGTAAAATAAACAAATCATCTCAAGACTTCAAAGTTACAGCTCTTCTCAGCACTACTCAAGGGACTGCCTTCAAAAGAGATGCAGCGTAAAACTACTTCTGCCTCCTCTTCAGCCAAGTTCTGCCACTTCAAAGGCTGCTGCCAGCACTGCTAGTGTACCAGGTGTCCCTCACAGATGTTAGAACAGGCCTGCTACCGTCTCTGAGCAGCATTTCTCTTCTAGCTTCTCCAGCTGGATCCAGGGCATGAGAACAGGAAGGTGAGTGGAAAACATTTCTTTCTTCAAGTGGGAAATCCATGTTCCAAGTGACTTCCCAAAAATCAATTATTAGAAATGTTCCCTGTTCCACTTCTGCTTCTTCAGACAGTCGCTTGGAAACTGTCCTGGCCAGCAACTCTCCTTCTCCTCCACATTCCTTCTTGTCTTGGCTGAAAAGCACGAGGAATGCAGGAGCCAATGGCATCAGGACACAGCACAGAGCCAACCTCCAAGGCAGCCTCTTTTGCACCATCTTCGTGTGTTCAGAGCACGGAGCTGTGCAAGTTTCTCAGGTGCAGATTCTCCTCCCATTCAAGCAGAGAAACAAAAACACTGTAAGGTGAAGAGTTCCAGAAAGCCTCAGTTCCCTGCAACAGGTCTCTGTTTATTGCCATTTTGCAAATCTCACAACTACCATCCGTTTTCAAGGCTCCTCCTGGATTAAATACCAGGCTCCACCACTCCTAGCTGGTGCCCCTCACAGCTGGACTTCAGGAAAGATCTGTCAGAAAGGGCAAGCTCATTCTGTGCCATCTCATCTGCAGCAGGGAAGGGAAAGATGAGGTTTAAGAGCAGCAACTTTTCCCATGCCTACAAGCTGCATTAGCTGTGCTCCTGGCAATATCATCCTGAGGTCGTCTTCTAGGGTAATAAGAAACTGCCAAAGCAGAATTTGCTGCATTAAGAACGTAAGGATGATAAATAGAAATGACTGAAAATTAAACAATTTTTCATGACAAGCTTCTCTTATTTAGCATGGAAATGCCAAAGCAATATTTTTCAAGATCCTTTAAAAACACAGGTGTAGATTCGGGTCATCACATACCATTCTGTCCTACACAGATAGCTCCCTACCAAAACTTATTGTTGTATAGTCCACAGTGGTTATCTCTACTGGTCTTTGAGCCAAAACTCAGATAGACATTTAATTCAGGCTCAGCTCAAAATGTTTTAGTCATAAAAATGTTCTGCACATAAGATATTTATAAGTTTTTAAATCAGCCCTAACCTTGCATGCCAATCCAGAGAACAAAACACAGATGTCATAATTTGAATAGAAGAGTTTGTGATAGGAACTTGGCAATACTCTTTAGTAGATAGCTTTGAAGGTATTATGCTTATAAAGTTTAAATATTTTGCAAATTTGAACATGGATTTAAATTTTCACATATGTGGTCTATAAGAATTATGTAATCAGCTCTATGTCATTTAACGTTTTTTAGTGTAAAAAGCACTTACAGTGAAATCCTGAAGGAAAATTCTTTCCAGATAAGACAAATATAGCAAAGAGAACAGAAGTGTGAAGGCATATCCAATATGGCAGAAACCACATATTCTATTCAATGACAAGTATACATTTTTAGAACAATCACTTCTCTCAAAAGAAGATTAAGATTTTTACATCCTTCCCCTACCCCCCTATTCTTTTTTAAAGTAGGCCCAGATGATCTTTTTCAAATGGGAAGGGATTCCAGCCAAGAATTCCTTGGGAATTCTTATTCTAAATTAAAAAGGGCTGTAGGGGCAGTTGCAAAGAATATAATCAACATTTGCAACCAAATGCAATTATGTAGGTCACTCCAAAAGTAATGCTTTCTATATATCTTCATGGAGACTACAACGGATACAAAGAACACGATAACATTATTTGATAGAGCACGTTCTCAGCTACAAAATACTACTTTTTAACACAATCACCACTGTCACCACCATTACCTGGGCATTTTCTCTAGCGATGAACAAGAACCTGCATGCCACACTCATCAAAACCTGTAGGTGACACTGTCACCATCACCACTGCTAAAACATACTCACTGGGCTCACACCCACTGTTTGGTTCAGCAAATGTCAATGAATGTCAATGGGCGCAACTGTTTCCACATGAAGGAATTCAATGACTAGTTTGCTTCATCCACGCTTCCAACTGCAGGAGATGTCGCGCTCACGGGCTCTTGTCCTGATGGGGGATTTCAACCACCCCGATATCTGCTGGGATAGTGGCACGGCGGTGGCAGACAATCCAGGAGATTCCTGGAGTCTGTTGGGGATAAATTCCTAGTCCAGGTATTAGATGGACTGACTCGAGGTGAAGCCTTACTGGACCTGGTGCTCAATAATGAGGAGGAGAGCATTAGAGAGGTTAAGATTGGAGGCAGCCTGGGCTATAGTGATCATGCCCTGGTGGAGTTAGTGATCTGGAGGAATGCAGGACTGGCAAAAAGCAGTCAGGATCCTGAGTTTCAGGAGAGTAAACTTTCAGTTGCTCAAGGAACTGCTGTGTGGGATCTCCTGGGAAAATGTCCTGAAGGGCACAAGTACAGAACAGAGCTGGCAGCTCTTTAAGGATACCCTTCTGAGAGTGCAAGAGCTCTCAATCCCCCAGCAGAAGAAATTGAGCAGAGGAGGTGGGTTACTGGCGTGGCTGAGCAAGGACCTGCAGCTTAAACTGAGGGAAAAGGGGAAATGTACAGGAAGTGGAAGCAGGGTTGTGTAGCCTGGGAGGAATATAGGGACACTGCCCATGTGTGTAGAAAGAAGATTAAGGATGCTAAGGCACAGATAGAGCTCTACCGGGTGAGGAATGTGTAAAATAACAAGAAGGGGGTTTTGCAGGTACATAAGCAGAAGGAGACAGATCAAGGATAGTGTTTAGAGAGCCTACAGAGGGGAGGGGAATCAACTCTTTGAAAGGGAAGATAACAGCAGGACAAGGGGAAATGGTTTTAAGTTAAGGGAGGGAAGATTTAAGTTGGATGTCAGGGGGAAATTCTTTACAGAGAGAGTGGTGAGGTACTGGAACAGCTGCCCAGAGAGGTTGTGGATGTCCTGCCCCTGGAAGTATTCAAAGCCAGATTGGATGGGGCCCTGGGCAGCCTGGTCTAGTATTAAATGGGGAGGTTGGTAGCCCTGCATGTGGCAGGGGGGTTGGAGTTTCATGATCCTTGAGGTCCCTTCCAACCCTGGCCATTTTGTAATTCTGTGATTCTCCCTCAAATTCTCCAGGGCTGAGACAGTAGGGCTTTCTAATCTCAGCCACATCTGAGACACTATAACTTATCTGGATGAAATTTTGGGACTCTTTTTTAGTCCGAAGTAGGTAACCCAGACACTATCCATTCACTCAGCTT